AAGTGATAAATCACTAAATTCTACACTTGAAACCAATTTTACCATGTATGTTAACTAACTTGAATTTAAATAAAAACTAGAAATAAATCATAAAATAAAAAATTAATAAATAACTAAACACATAAAAGTATGTACTGGGAAATCTGAAAGTCTGTGGATTAACCCTACGTGTTTCCACTGCTCTGGAAGTCAACCGATTTATCAAATTTGAAGGTACTGTGTCTTAGATATAGACCTTAACTTATTAACCAGCAGCTCATTTTGACTAGAAGCTCTCTGAGGGCAGAGAGTACATCTGTGTTTATTACCCTCCCCTTAGCACAGCGCCTGGCACACAGCAAAAACTCAACAAACATTTGCTGGGTGAATGAGTGACTGAACTGAATGTCATCCTGAAGCCTGCAAAATGGTATTTCATTTCCCAATACTCTATAATCAGAGACACCTCCTACTACCCTCCTACTATTCTACCCTGACTCTACATGCTAATTCCAAATTTAAAACTCCAAATTCTCTGGTTGGCTTATCTAAAACCACTGGGGCTTTGTGGGGCGCCTGGTTGCCTCAGCTGGTTAAGCGTCTGCCTTCAGTTCAGGTCATGATCCCAGGGTCCTGCGATCAGGGGAGCCGCGCCCCCCCTTCACATTGGGCTCCCTGCTCAGTGGGGAGCCTGCTTCTCCTTCTCCCTCTGCCCCTCCCCCCTGCTGGCACATGTGTTCTCTAATAAATAAATAAAATCTTTAAAAAATAATAAAACTATTGGGGCTTTTTCTTTTTTTTAAGATTTTATTTATTTATTTGACAGAGAGTGGGAACACAAGCAGGGGGAGTGGGAGAGGGAGAAGCAGGCTTCCCGCCGAGCAGGGAGCCTGATGCGGGGCTCAATCCCAGGACCCTGGGATCATGACCTGAGCCGAAGGCAGACGCTTAACAACTGAGCCACCCCCCAGGCGCCCTGGGGCTTTTCATTTCTAATAATTGAAGTTTGGGTTATTTGGGCGATCCTCTCACAGAAAAAGAGTTTAGAAAGTAGGAGGAAATAGAAAAAAATCTTAAAGCTATCAATACACTGACAAGATGGTAGTGCACTGGTCAAAACCAAAGGAAATCTGAAATCCAGACAGGTAAATAACCACAGAAATGGCACCACCCCGGGGCATCTGCCCAGAAAACAGAACTTTTGTTTCAATGGCCCTCTCAGGAGAAGTGGTCACGAACTCAAAGCCCAGGGCCTGTCCAAGGTGAGAAGTCTAAAAAGAGACCTCTTTCTAGAATAAGCTAAGATTCCAAAGGACTACTGAGAATGCATCAGAATTAGACCAGCCCTCTTGCAAAATTACAGTTGGGGTTCCAATATCCAGGTCGTCCATGGAATTTTAAGCCTTGAAATTAGTTTTAGGTAACTGAACTGAGACTGCGTAGTGCTCCCCTGTGGGAATTCCTTCTCAGCGTTTCTTGGGAAATGCATATGTCCTTCTGGATGCAAAGAAAAATCAGTCAAGAAAGTGGAACACAAGAGGAGATACTGTAATTCTCCTGTGAGAATAAAGCCTAGAAATAAACGTAGACGCATTTCGGGTTCAAAGGAATCCACTGATGTCAAGTTGAAAGCAAGAGCAGAAAATACTGACACACAGAGTAGAAGATTAAGGTTGACCAGGATGAGAGTAATAGGAGAGAAGTGACCAGGATCTAATCAGTTAGTTTTGCTTGTAGCTGCTGCTATGCTACGAGTGTGTTTATAAGCGTTTGCATTCGTGGCCCTGCGTGCTGCCGACAGTGAGTCATGCCTGCAGATCAAATAAATGTTAATAAGCTTATTTGTACAGCACATTTTTTTACAAATCTTATAAAGTGACTGTTTAAGAAAGACCAAGTTTTAGGGGTGCCTCGGTGGCTCAGTTGATTAAGCGTCTGCCTTCGGCTCAGTTCATGACCCCAGGGTCCTGGGATGGAGCCCTGCATCGGGCTCCCTGCTCAGCAGAGAGTCTGCTTCTCCCTCTCCCACTCCCCCTGCTTGTGTTCCCTCTCTCTCGTTCACTCTCTTTCTCGAATAAATAAATAAAATCTTAAAAAAAAAAATCAAGTTTTAGAAGCAAAGTAAGTCCTTAAACTGACAATCCTGATAAATGATTCTGTGTAGTGTTAAATCTTGCTCAGAGCGGTGAATAACGTTCCATTATTTGAATACTTGAAACCAAAAATGTTTGCCCAGTGTTCTCCAGGGTTTAATATTTGCCAAAGGTTCATAGTTAAATATACATATTTAGATATTAAATCTATGTATATTTATATATTTAATTTACATATAAATTAAATACTTAATAGATTATAGAGATGTGAATATTAATATTGAATCATTATGCTGTACACCTGAAACTAATATAATGTATATCAGTTATACCTCAATAAAAAAAATTTTAAGATAAGAATATTGTCAAAATGGTCTAAATTTTGATTTAGCAAAAGCAATACTGATTTCAACAGCAAAGTAAAAATCAGAGCCAAGTACACAAAATATTTTCATTGTCAAAAAAGAAAATGAGCTTACACGAAGCAACATGCACCCTAAAAGCCCCATCTAAAAATGCTTTTAGATACATTCTTAATTCAACCAACATCAATCCAAGATGAAAACTCTCTCCTTTGCCTAGAATACTAACAAAACAAAGATCAATCCTATCAGGGCAACTAAAGCTTTGTGTATTCAAAATCTTGTTTTAAGAATAACTTTTCAACGCTAATTGTGGTATTATTTTAAAATTTTGAAATTATTTTTATTTAACTTTTATGTTAATGCTTCCTTCTGATGTTCTCAAATGTTTACTGTCATATTTATTTTCCGATTTTGATAAATATTCTATACTTATGTAAGACCTTAAGGTAAGGGGAAGTTGAGTGAAGGGTACATGAGAACTTCAATTTTTGGCAACTTTTCTATAGATCTTAAATTATTTTACATTAAAAAATAAAAAATGTTTTAAAGATGTTATTTATTTGAGAGAGCACGAGCAGGAGGGGCAGGGGGAGAGGTAGAGAGAATCTCAAGCAGACTCCATGCAGAGCGAGGAGCCTAACGTGGGGCTCAAACTCATGACCCTAAGATCAAGAGTCTCATGCCCTGAGCCAGCCAGACACCCCTAAAAGTATCATTATTGAGAAATTCCCACTACCTGGAATTTGAGACATTTTTGTTCTGCCCCCCTGCATATCTCGTGCAAGAACATTTTATGAGTATTTTCCAAAACTTACAAGTACAGAAGGCGGTGGAAGATCCTGGAACTTGCTATGGCTTTGGGGATGTAGAACTGAGCCGACATTCCCTTAGAATTCCGTTTCAGACACTCTGACATCATCAAGGTATCTGACAATCCCCCAGGACTTCAGGTACTCATCTTCAGTGGTCATTTTTTTTTAATACCACCTTTATTTCTTAAGTAAACCCTACCCCTCAACGTGGGGCTCAAGCTCACTGACCCCAAGACCAAGAGCTGCATGCTCTGCGGACCGAGCCAGCCAGGCGCCCCTACAGGAGCACCCCTCTGAGGACGTGACTCGGCGCTCATCCTCACGCTTCACCTTGAGGGTAACTGCTGCTGCCGCCCCCGCTCAGCAGTGACCCAGGGGCTCAGTGGCCTAGCTCTTCCCTCATTCATCACACCAAATTTGCTCCAGGACCCCCTCCTGCTGGCCCGCCTCTGAGTCTGCAGTCCCTCAGACCCGTGCCCACCTGCAGAGCAGTCCTCTCCTGAGCACACCTCAGAGAGAAGTCTCCTCTAATACCGTCTGCTCTCCAGCTTCGGGAAAATGACTCCATCTCTGGCCTTCCCAGGATACTCTTTCTTGTTGGAATTTATTTTTCCAGTCACGTACAGTGGCCTGAAGTAGAGGGGGAGGGAAGCGCGTGGACCTGGCCTGCCATTCTCCTGCTTTTATTTCGCATTAGCATCCTGCAGGCCCTGCATCCACAGATCAGTCTGTGGAGTGTTTTCTTTCCTGACGACACGTGGGCTCGCAGCTGTCTGGCACACCTGCCCAAAGTGACATGGCCGTGCTGTCCTTGGGCCCTAGTCTGCTGTTGCCTTGCTTTCTGCCTTTTTCCTCTAGAAATTATTTCTCATGGGAGTTTGGTGAAGATAAACGAAGTCCCCTGAAGCTGGTCACCCCTCAAGTAAGGGACAGAATTAGAATTTCTGAATGTGCAAGGTGGGAAGCAGTCAACTGTAGTAGTTAAAAACCAGAGCTCCCAGCTCCCTCGGTAAGCTACTCCATCTCTACAAATCTTATCTGCCTCATCTATCAAGCAGCCGTGTGAATTATCCCAGTGTGTGTAGGGTGGCTGGGAAGATTATATGTGCAAGCAAATGGTACCAAGTCCTTATTACCAACAAGTTAATGATTGTTAGCTCTTCTGGTACTATTGCAACCTAGTCCTTTGGGTGTCTGGGTGGCTCAGTTGGTTAAGCAACTGCCCTCGGCTCAGGTCATGATCCCAGGGCCTTGGGATAGAGCCCCGCATTGGGCTCCCCGCTCAGCGGGGAGCCTGCTTCTCCCTCTGCTTCTCCCCCTGGCTTGTGCTCTCTCTCTTCCTCACTCTCTCTCTCTCAAATAAATAAAATCTCTAACAAAACCTAGTCCTTAAACCACAAAGATATAAGATGCAGTTTTTTCATGAATCTTAGCCTGGAAGTCTTTAGTCCTTACTAGAGGCCAGTTATGGAGGTCATTATATGCAGGGACTTCCCATCTGCAGGACTGCTATGGATGCTTTAGCACAACAGGAGGTATAAATGTCCATGAGGTTTGAGCTGCTCTATCTGGTCACAGGATAATTCGAAACAGAGCAGTCGAATTGTGGTGACAGGGTAAGAAATGAGGTAATGAAAAAGCAAATCAGTCTTTGTCAAAGATGGTAACATCTCGCTTAAAAACATGGGGAGGCCATTATGTGGACTGGTGGATGTCAAGAAACACGTATCTATTATTTCCCCGTCACTTACCTCTGAGTTGCTGGAGTTCCATATTCAAACTTTCAATGTTGCTCTCATAGAACTCAAGATCCTCAAGGGTCTCTTCCCTTAATGATTCGTCTTGCTTCTCCTCCAGCGCTAAGTTTAGCTCTTCTTGAGCCCTGCTACCCACATCCAAGTCCTGTTCCATTTCCTGAACCCTCACCAATACTAAGGGACACTGGGAAGTCTGGTCCACAGTCTGGTCCACACTCTCAGGGCCCTCCTTCTCCGGCGTCTCACAGCTCGGACGGGTACAGGTTAGGAGCCTGGGGGATACTGGAGTCCCTCGATGCTGTGCCGAGGGAGGCAGGGGAGCGGGGCGAGAGGGTCGCATCGCCAAGGGCGGTTCAGGTTTCAGGTTCTGGTCAAGAAGCACGTGGGGAGAAGCGGACGCTGGAGTACGGGGACGCGGGGGCGGGGGCCTTAGGGCTTTCCTCCTCTCGGGCAGCTCCTGCTGGCTGGTTAGCTTTGAGGAACCTCGGACAATGTCCTTCTCCGAGTTAAAGTCCATGATTGAAAAGTGGCGCAAAATTTTATCTTGTTCTAGGCCAGGCCCTGACAAGCTCTTTTCAAACTCTATCAGCTGTTGTGTCAACTTCGAATCCAGGTCAGTGTTGCCCTCTCCATGTAAAAGTGCCATGGCTTCAGCTGTAAACACCTTGTCTTGCAGACCAAGCTTCATGTCTGATCTCTCTGGTGCAGAACAAAAGCTGGAGGCATTTTCTTTGGGCGCGTGGTGCTTTTTAGCACATCTTGCCATGCCCTGGAGCGGAGAGCTCAACTGGCTGGGTGTGACTACCCGAGGGCCCAAAAGACAGGAGCCAATGTGAGGAGGCGGCACTGGCTTCTGAAGGGTTTTTGGTGGGGAGGACATTCCTCTGGGAGGTAGGCTGGAGTCGTCTTTAGTCCTTGCTTCGAAGGGAAGAGGGTCAGCGTACTGCTCTGAGCTTTGGTGGCCCCCTCCTGCTGTAGAGTAATACTGGTGTTTCTGCAATCTGGGAGGAAAAGGTACCTGAGGTTGGGAGGAAACCCCATTGATTATCTCTGAAGGATCCTCTGCAGAAGAGTCTTTGGCAAGAGACTGTTTGTGCCCCAAGCCTGGGCTTCTTGGGGCACCCCCTGAGGTGTCTTCATCCTGATGAGAGTTTTTGTTTACTTCATACTCAGAAGTCAGATGCTCTGGGGGAGAAGCAGATGTCTCAGAAATAACACAGTTGGACTTCTCTGCTTTATACTCAGGAGATTCGGGTCTTCTTCCCTCCACCACCAAGGAGTTCTCTGAACAACCCAAAGAAGGGGCAGGGATCTCGGTAGGGCTGCTTTCCTGTGGAGGATCCATGGCCTCCTCTGCTCTTGTTTTAGAAAACAGCTTTATAAATCGGTAAGGAAAGATGCCTGTCCTGCCCTTCAGTGATCCTTCTAGCCACCCGTCTTCCAGCGTTCCCAGAATTCGGATTTTATCACCGACCTCAAAATCCAGCTCATTCGGCTCCAGGGCCTGGAACCTGTAGAGGGCAATTCCGTAAGTCCCCAGCTGCTCCTCATCGTCTTCTGGGCCCCTCTCATCCTCTCCTGTCGGGGTCTCTTCTTCACCATTAATAACGCAGTCATCGTGATTTCCAGAACTTACCAACTCATCCACAGTCCTCAGGGGCCCCAAAAGCTCTACAAAACCTTCTGGAAAAATGCCTCTTCGACCCTCTAATTCCCCTTCAAACCAGCCTGGTTCAGGAACTCCAATAATGGTAATCACATCCCCTTCTCTGAAGTCCAGCTCCTCGTCCAGCTGGGCCGAAAGCCCCATCAGCGCCCGTGCTTGTCCCATTGAGTACTCAGGAATCTGGAGCAAGGCGCTCTGTGGGCACCAGCACCGGCTCTGTGAGGAGAGGCAGAGCTCCCGAACACACGATGACGGGAAGAAGCCCCGGGCACCCCAGCAGCTTCGGCCCTGCAGCCAGGGGGCCGTGGGGGCACCATCGAGAATCACCAGGTCACCTAAAGAAAGACAAGCAAAGATAACGACCTGAGTCATCACCGCAAAAGAACACTGCCATAACTAATAGTGCAACTCATCATTTTAAACATCTATCAGATTCAGGGAAATGTACCTCTGGAGTTTTAAGGGCATAATACTTTTGACAATTTAGTGAATTTCGACAATTTAGTGACAACACAGTGCACAATCCTGTAAAGCAGTGCTTTTCAACATGTGGTGCATGGAATCCTGGGGGAGCTCCAAGATCCTTTCAGAGAGTCTGTAAAGTCCAAACTATATTTTCTTCAGAGACTTTATATATTTCAGTTAAAACAAAATATCACAGTTGATTGAATATAAATACAAATATGAGCATTTAGCTTTCTTCTATTAAAGCAAACATTTTTTTAAAGATTTTGTTTATTTATTTGAGATGGAGAGAGAGCAAGAGCAGGGGGTGGAGGGAGAAGATGCGGGGCTCGATCCCAGGACCCGGGGATCATGACCCTGACCTGAGCTGAAGGCAGACAACTGACCAACTGAACCACCCAGGTGCCCCTATTAAGGCGAATATTAAAGAGATTTGCAAAAATGTAAACCAATGATGCCCTTCCTACTAAATTTTTTTGTTTAGAAAATTATTTTTCATTAAAAATATGCTATTTACGTGGGCGCATGGATGGCTCAGTTGGTTGGGCGACTGCCTTCGGCTCAGGTCATGATCCTGGAGTCCCGGGATTGAGTCCCGCATCGGGCTCCCTGCTCAGCGGGGAGTCTGCTTCTCCCTCTGACCCTCCCCCCTCTCATGCTCTCACTCTCTCTCATTCTCTCTCTCAAATAAATAAAGCCTTTAAAAAACTATGCTATTTATGTTAATATATAATAGGTTTTAAAAAATGAATTGATAAATATTTTTTAAAATTTCTGTTTTAACAGCAGATACTGCAAATATCAATAGACTCACATAAGCAAGAGCTCTTTGGGGTTTCAATAACTTTTAAGAGTATAAAGGGCTCCTGGGACCAAAAAGTTTTAAAAATGCCACTATAAACAATGCTCTTACAGTCTGTGTCATTGGATTAGTTTATAAATGATAAAGAATATATACATGTCCATTATATCCTTTGAACAGATGCATCAGATCTCTCACACTAACTTTTATTCAACATCAAATACAGAACAATGAAAGAAGTCTTCAGGAATGGTTTCTTTTTTTAAAGATGTATTTATTTATTTGAGAGAGAGAAAGTGAGCGTGCATGAGCAAGAGGGGCAGAGGGAGAGGGAGAGAATCTCAAGCAGACTCCACAATGAGCTAGGAGCCCGGCTCAGGGCTCGATCCCACAACCCTGAGATCAGGAGGACGCTCAACCAACTGTGCCACACAGGCAACCCCTCAGGAATGGTTCCTTTGTTGGAGGTACAGGGTGTGGGCAACAAGCTCTTCACTTATTTCCTCCAGAGGCCTTTTTGAACTATCCCTACCCTGACAATACATTATATTGAAATCTTAAGTGTGTTCTAGCAATCAGTACTTTTGTCGGGATTTTTGTTTGTTTTTTAAGATCCTATTTATTTATTTGAGAGAGAGAGAGAGCATGCGTACCCGCACAAGTTGGGGGGGAAGGGCAGAGGGAGAGGAAGAGACAGATTCCCCACTGAGCAGAGGGCCCAACTTGGGGCTGGATCCCAGGACCCCGGCATCATGACCTGAGCGGAAGACAGATGCTTAACCGACAGCCACACAGGCGCCCCCAGTACTTTTGTTTTTGAAAATAGTTCCAATATCGATGTTTCAGGTTAACTTGACAAAATAGAAGCTGAACAGTTAGCATATGTCTTACTGTTGAAGAAGGTGAGGCAAAGAAAGGATAGGGCACAGTGATTCTGGAAAAAAATCAAGTTAAAATTCAGTCTTGGAGGATTCGCCCCAACTTAAAGAATTACTCTATAGTTCTGTACTAAATTGTTTTATAACAAACTCTTAATTATCTGATGATGAACTGTTTATTTTGTGGATTACCAGTTTCAACCTTTTTTAAACTTCTCTCTTACTTGACACCTAGTCAACTTTACTTTCATCAGCAGAGGTAACCAAGGAACGTAACCAGCCTAAGTAAAATAAGACCAGGGCAGCAAAGCACCTAACTAAGTCATGTAAGTCATTTTATAGTCAAGCATATTTTGAAACTGGGTTATCTTTTACGGTATCAGCTTGCATGCTCTTGATTAACAAATTAACAAATAGATTAACAAATTGAGTCTGTCCTATCTTCCCACCAAGTGAATTACATATTCCTTAATGGCAGGTACCACTTCTCTTTTGTATTTCATGAATCGGATACAATGCCTTTTGCATAGCAAGCATTCAATGTCCATTTGATAATGACAATGATTCTCCAACTCCAACTCCCAAATAAATTAATTATATCTTCCCTCCAAAACTGGCTTCAAGCTGTTAGCTTCCCTTTTCCCTCTAATATCCTCTTATAAGCCTTCTTAAAAAAAATATTTTATTTATTTCAGCGCAAACGAGTGAGAGAATGAGACAGTGAGAGAGAGAGAGAGAGAGCAAGTGAGCATGAGCAGGGGGTAAGGGGAGAGGGAGAAGCAGACTCCCACTGAGCGGGGAGCCCAACACGGGGCTCATCCCAGGACTCCAGAGATCATGACCTTGAGCCAAAGCCTGACACTTAACCAACTGAGCCACCCAAGCACACCTCCTTCTAATATCTTCTTGCAGAAATCATTTCCCCTCATTACTCGTTCTTGCTACCACCCTAGTCCAACAATCATCATCTCACTCTCCTAAACCTTGCCCCAGACTTTGTCTCTTCCAGTCTCTTCCCAATGATTCATGCCAAACTAATGTGATAAATGTACCAATTTTACCATATCCCTCCCCTGCTCAAACTTTTCTCTTGAGGCATGAAGGCGTCTTCCTACTCCCATAGGATTCTTCTCTAAAAATCCTATTCTTATTAACTGAAGTATATTTTTTAAAAAAAAGTTTGCTCTGGACACTCTCTAAAGAGGTTTAATTACTCAACTACCAAAAGACTATTTTTATGTTTTTACCTCAGTGCAACCTGGACATCTACTGCCAGTCATACCCCTTCCCCCACGGCTACCCCAGCCAGCCAATATTATCTCACCTATGAGACCCTATTTCACACAAGGGCACTTTCATTAGCTCCTATACAAGTCTGTCTGAAACCCTAGCACACTTTTCTAAAGGACCTTAGAAACCCACATTCACCTTGGCCATCTGTAGCCTACTAACGAAATGATCATTTCATCACTCATTTTGACACTTGTATTTTCATAGACTACACAGCATCTAATGTATAAGCTTTTGCGCTTGGTGGTAGGCACCCTATTCATTTTCACTGATTTGATATGTTTTACTTAGAAATTCTTGAGAAACAGGGTCGTGGCCCTCTATTTCTATATTTCTTTCATTTATGACTCAATAGCCATTGGTTGGAACTTGGGGTCCTGAGAATGTTACAAGTGATTTTTTTCCCCACTAATTCTAAGGCTCCTCCATCAGAACCCCAGAGGGAACTCACTGGAGACAAAGTTATTGTCCAGGCACAATAGGCCTTTTGGGGAAGAAGAAGAACAAAAGCTGGCCAGAACTCCCACTCCACTGGCTTGGGAATGAACGGGATTCCCTAACGCTGCAGAATGACAATGTTTTCCTTGCTTTGCCAGATCTCCAGGAAACCCTTATCACAGGGCTTGCTTTTCCTATTTTCAACTGGGTGACTGTTTTGATAAGCTTTATTACCTGGCAGACTGTCACTCTGTTGGCTACTTCTATGTAAAAAAGGTAAACCTTTTAAAAATCACAGTTTAGATCCTGAAAAGCACTTCAGAGATAATTTTGCTCAACACCTTTATTTTGTCGCTGGTACTGAGTTTTTTGCACAAGTCTCTCGTTTTCATCAGAGTTGTGCCGCTGTTCCCCTGGCATCCCAGGTGATTCCTGAGGAACGGAGGCTACCTAGTGGTCATTTCCAGACTTCGGAAACAACAATATGAGCAACTGCTGGAAGAGAGTGCCCAGATTTCGCAAACGGGAAAATAGGAAGTGTGGTGATCCTTAGGGTCAAGCTGAGGCTTTCACTCATGCACAGTTAATCCCAGCTGCCCGCTTCTTCTGCTTGGATTTTTTTCTTTGAGCAAGAAATGCATTGAGGTATAAGATGGTAAGAACAAATGCAAGTCTTCTTAGAATCTAAGTAGTCTGACTCTGCAGTATTAGGTCCCTCCCTGAATCGCAATGCCCAGGAAGACTATGTGCTTTATGTAGACTGACCACACATGCTACTTAGATTTCCATGAGCCATGTCAGAACCTTACCCTCATAGGTCACACACATGGCATCACAGACTTATGGCATGGGTGCTATATCATTCATCAGGTTATTTGTAAATAAATTTCTCCAAAAAGTTAAAAATAGAACTACCCAATGATCCAGTAATTGCACTATTGGAGTATTTATCCCCAAAATACAAAAACATTAATTCAAAGGGATGCATGCTTATTGCAGCATTATTTACAATAGCCAAATTATGGAAGCAACCCATGTGTCCATTGATAGATGAATGGATAAAGATCTAATACACACACACACACACACACAATGGAATATTATTCAGATTCAGCTATAAAAAAGAATGAAATCTTGCCATCTGCAACAACATGGATGGAGCTAGAGAGTAAAATGCTAAGTGAAATAACGCAGTCAGAGAAAAACAAATACCATATGATCTCACTCATATGTGGAATTTAAGAAATAAAACAAACGAAGGAAGGAGCAGGAACCTGCTCCTCCCTCTGCCTGCCACTCCCCCTGCTCATGCTCATTCTCTCTCTATCAAATAAATAAATAATAAATAAATAATCTTTTAAAAAAATTAAACAGTCTACTCTTGAATGGCCAACTTACCTCGATGGAGGGGAAGACTGTTCAATTCTTGGGATGTAAATTCACAGACACAGACAAACAGCCTCTCTCCTGCTTTTAGACTGGGAATGGTCACAGTTTCCACAAAACTGCTGGGGAACTGCCCTGAAATGAAAGCAAACATTTCTAATACTGGAATCTCATTTTCTGTCTATGTCCCAGGACAAAATCGCTTTTTTTTTTTCTGAGCCCATTTACAGACACTGAATTGAAAACTAAGTACTCATAATTGGAGAAATCTACTATAGACAAAGTACAGTGCACAAAATTTAACGCATGCAGAGCATAGAGAATGCAATTCTATCTAATTAGCGTTAATTGGGGGCCACTCTACACAGGGCACAGCGCAGAGGGAAAAACAGGTAAGAAAGTCTTGGCTCTCAAAGATCTTAGAATCTAAATCAGGCATCAGCAATAATTCCATTTGGAAATCTAGTGACACAGTGGAGGTGCACAAATTGCTGTGGAAGTTAGAGAAGGTAGAAAGTCTTTCAGGAAGAACATGAAAAATTTTATGAGAAAGCTTGCATTTGAGTCCAAAGATGGGGAGGGTTTTAATAGATAGTAGTAGACAGACAGGGCCTGTCAGTCGGAAAGCACCAGAAAGTGGATCCCACCTTCTAGATATCTCTTGTATCCTCCACTTATCTCCAGACCCACCACCTTGGTCCAAGCCAGCAGCATGTCTCACCTGGATTATGGCAACAACCTCCCAGTAGGTCTCCCTGCCCCTGGCTCTGCCCTTTCCTATCATTTTCTAACCCGCAGTAGCGAGCTTTCTCAACTACACGCCGGATGTATAAAGCACCTGTACCGTTACCCCATTCCGTAACTCCTTACCATGGCATCCTCTGTCCCCCACGATCCAGCTCCTTCTACTCTGCCCAGCACACTCCCTCAACCTTTCACACCACATGCCACGCTCAACTCTTCTCAGACCCTCCATGTTCTTTGTCAGCCCAGGACCTTTGGACAAGCAACTCTCTCCGTCTATCCCCTTCACCTTTCTAACTCTTATTCATCATTTTTGTCTTAGCTGAGCCATCATTTCTACTGGGAAATAATCTAATTGCCCAAATGTGGGGTAAGTGTCAACAGAGTCTGTTCGAAGGACTATATAACAAACTCCAGCTCAGACTGACATAAATATATGTAAGTCAAGGACTGGATTTAACACAGGTGCACAGTGTGGGGGAAAAACTTCCACCCTTCCCTAGGCTAATGAATGAAAGAAACGGGTGCTAACATAGACTTTAAAGACTAGAAGAAAGGAAACTGCCGAGGGCAGTTGCAGCTTTAATAGGTTTCGACCGACCACGGATCTGGGAAGGAGTGAACAGGATGCATCATGCTCTCTTGAAAAGAGTTGAAGAAAGGGTAGAAAATGTTTGAGGAAGACAGCCAGAGAAAACATGGGGGAGAGTGACTTAAGTTCCATAAATCAGAAATAAAGGCTGGTAGTGAAAAGTAAAGGCAAACAACAGGGTTCTGAATAAAGAAGTAACATGTGTTTTCAGAAGGAAAGCAATGGCGCTGAGCACAAAGGATAAAGACCCAGGGAGGGGAGGTAAATATGTGAACAGACAACTGGGCTGGGGACAGCTGGTATCAAACCATCTTAACCTTTGGAAGGAACCCATAAGGAGAGATGGAACGATAACAAACATTCTCTCCTCACTGGTAGAAACCACAGTAAAGACATAACAAAAAAACACAAAGGATTCTGAAGTTCATGGACTTGGGCTTCCCATTTAACCTTTATTTTTAATATGGAAAGAAGGGAGGGCTTGTGGTCTATTTCGAATCTGAGGAATTAGGAGCCTCTCACCTGTAACATCCTCTTTCCTTCCTAGAAGCCAAAATTCATCCACCACTGCCAACACTTCAATGACATCTCCCACGAAGAGCGGTAGTTCTTCGGATACACTAGGGCAGAAGTCAAAGATGGCTCGAACCACTGAGCCAGCCTCCATGTTTTACAACCTGGAAAGACAGGTCAAAAGAAAGTGGAAAGCATAACTATTTAACCTATTGGAATATAGGTCAATATCTTGAGAATGATAAAGCTTAAGATAGACACTTAGAATCTAAGTTAAGCAAATAAGAAGTTTGTACTTTATACTTTAAAGAAATTAAGGTACTATCTCACAAAAACAATAATTTCCTCATACATTTTTCATTTGATTCTCAAGGCAATTCTGGAATTGGGGGGAAAAAAAGTGACCTTTACCTGTGAGTGACAGAAAAGGTACAAAGTTGGGAAATGCAGACTTCTCAATATGCCTGAAGAGGGCAATAAGGAAAAATTAACATTTTTCAAGTACAGGCAATATGGTACTTTTAAGATGTGGTATTTAAAAAGCAAGGATTTTAAATATGGCATTTTATTTATTTCCCCAGAACTATCTTAAAGATTAGGATATTTATGCTCAGAAAACTTAATTTGTCTAAGATCACAGAGTTCATAACAGCAGGACCAGGATTCAGGCCCAGGGCAGCCTGGCTCCTACCTACTGGGGAAAAAAAAAAAAAGGAATGTGGGATCACACCTCAAAGGCAGAGATTTAAAATGTACTGAAAAGTAAAAATCCATGAAAAGAACAAGAAAGGGTGTTATAAAAATGACACCTCCAGACAAGATCTAGTACATACACTACACCAGACCAAGAATGTGTTTTCAGCTCAAAGACACCCATGGCCCAGGCTCGCCGCATAGTATCCTCACACTGTTGTGGAGTCTGTGCTGTGCTAAGCTGATGTGTCTCTTACCTTGACATGTGTGCCTGGGGAGCCTAAGTATGTGTTTAAGCCACAGAAAGGGAGGAATTAGGGGCGCCTGGGTGGCTCAGTCGTTAAGCGTCTGCCTTCGGCTCAGGTCATGATCCCAGGGTTCTGGGATCCAGCCCCGCATCGGGTTCCCTGCTCAGCAGGAAGCCTGCTTCTCCCTCTCCCACTCCCCCTGCTTGTGTTCCCTCTCTCACTATGTCTCTGTCAAATAAATAACATCTTTTAAAAAATGGAAAAAAAGGGGGGGAGGAACTAGCAGGCATGTGCTCACCTGTAAACAATCAGCCATGATTAGCAGCCTCTCTCCCTAGGTCTTTCTCGAGGAGAAGCTATCACTCTCCATAGTGTCCAGGCCTCAAGTCTATTCTCCTTTATTTACCTCTAGTATCTATCTGGTGTTGTTAGCGATGAGGATTCTAACTTTTATCTCACATATAACTATGATGATAATCAAAAAGCGCTAAAAAAACAAAACCATCGTTATAGCTCCATTGAGTTTATTATCTAAGAAAACAGTGATGTGGACAAACATGTTAGGCATATGATGAATAACTGAGTATATTAATGTGGGGTACCTTTAAGATTTGAATGAATCATGTAACCCAATTCAACACTGCGTATGTAATGTGTACTGTTGAGTGAAAGGAGCTTATCTTTGTGTTACTGGAACTTTTTCTATAATGAGATGACTTGGGTGCACAGTGGAAAAGAGAAGTGGCCAGTAACATTCCCCACGTCCTCTGCCCTTTCCTACCATGTATTTTCTTTAAGTATAAAAGTCTAATTATGATCACATGCTGAGGAGGCAGCTTAATGTGAATGCAAAGTAACCAGGTGTCTGGAGTCAGAGACCAAGGTTCAAACACCAGCTGAACTGTTTATTAGTTATTTCACCTTGGACATACTCCTTAAACTCTCTGGGTTAGCTTCCTGTTCAGGAAAATGGGGATAATTATACATTCATATGCATCATCAAGAGGATGATGATAATGATCAAAATAATTACAACAATGCCTAGTATTTCCTGAACACTTACTATGTGCCACGCACTGTTCTATGTACTTCCTCCATTGAGTCCTCACAACAATCCTATCGTGTATTATTGGTTTCCACTTTGCAGATGCCGACACAGGCTCAGAGAGATGATGTAATCTGTGCAAGGTCACACAGTAAGTCAGAGATGGAATGGAGATGGAAACCCAGATCTGTTCCCAAAGAGACAAGATGCTGCTGGTGTGAAAGCCCCTAGGATGGGGCTGGGACAGGAGGTGCTCAATGAATGCTAGCAGTTATTAAACGTTATTTCCATAGTCAGCTACAAGCTCAAATCTGTCTCACTGATATATCATCACCAGAGAAAGTGCTATTTCAAGTACAGAAACCACAGAATTGACCATTTCAACATGTCAAAACCTGGTTTAGCTTTGACCACGTTTAAAAAGACACTTTATACCTCTCTGCCTTCTGCAATGGGAAGACACTGAATCTAATTTACTCTTTGACTGATGGATGCAAGTTCATTATTAAGACCACACATTACTATACCGTGCAGTGATGCATAACACCAGGACTGTATAACTTTTGGGTCCTTCTGCTATCGGTTATCTCCTCAGTCAGCTTTTCTACCCTCTTTCTAGATGGCTGTTTATTCTCTGCTGGGGAGAGAAGACCACACAGACGCCGCCCAAGTTATTAGAAGTTCCCAGATACATAAGAAGTAAACAAGCTCCGAAGGAAATGCTAACAAACTCTTCTGTGGTGGTAAACTACATGTGTTAGTTTTTCAACAGTTATTTTTCATGTGCTCTGAGGCCCCTTTCTTATTTTCTGGCTGTCCTCCAAATGGCTGACGTTGCCAGATGTCAGATTTCCATGTAAGGGTGGTGTCATAAATATTTTTTTTTAAACAAGCATAATATTTTGCAAACCTCTTAGCCATCCATATATTATTAACACAACTCAAGGCTGGGCCATGGTGGATATTATTTTCCTCCTTCTAGTACATTTTCTCAAATTCCATCTCACTCTCAGACTAAATATATTACCTCATTATCTGAAATGTTAAAGAAAGAATTAGCATAAGATCTCTAGGATGTGAGAAAGAGAGACCCTATTACACTGAGGAGTGAACTCTGTGATGTGAAAGAGTTAAAGCTTCTCCCTGAGAACCTTTGTGCCGCACCAGAACATGACTCAGAAGCAGAGGAGGGTCTGGCGCAATGAATACTTTTACTGACTGACCTCCTACCCTGTGGGAAGGAGCGCGTAATCGCTGAGGAACACCCTGCAAGGGTGCTGGAGTCGGAGCCTGGCTCAAGTGCAGGATTCGTGTGTGTGTGTGTGTGTGTGTGTGTGTGTGTGTGTGTGTGTGTGTGTGTGTGTGTGTGTGTGTGTGTGTGTCCCAGAACTATCTTAAAGATTAGGATATTTATGCTCAGAAAACTTAATTTGTCTAAGATCACAGAGTTCATAACAGCAGGACCAGGATTCAGGCC